AGGGGGCGAACGCGGGGCCGACGGGGCCGCTAAGGGGCGGCGCGCGAGGTCGACGGGGCCTCTAGGGGCGAGCGCGGGGCCGACGGGGCCGCTAAGGGGCGGCGACGGGGCCTTAAGGCCTCGCTATCAGACATTTTTGTCTGTTTTTCTGAGGAATAAGACGGATTTTTTTTACGTAATCTGATTTTTAAGAAATGGAACGTTTGGGAAATCTGATGAATAAGATATGAGATTCCCATTTTGTCTGATGAAAAAGACGTGCGTGTAGCTATTCCTCTGATTTTCCAGGCACTTGTATCAGTTCCGTCTGAAACCGACTTTTATACAGTCTGCCGTGATTGACGCGTGATATGGGTTAGCTGCGCCAATCACAGCACGATCAGTAGACCTGTATGCGTGATTGCGGTGACAGCGCAGCGGAGCGCACTGACAGAAGTCAAGTGCTGGCAATCTGGCGCACGTCTGGCCAACTTGGGCCACATTGAGACGAAAGTGGAGCAAGTCTTTCTGTTACTGGTCCACTTTCACGCCAGCGCATGAGTTGTGTGGATTGCAGAGCCTCGCGCGACTCGCACCGACTGTTGCCCAACGTCCCGCTGGACGAAGGATGATGGAGTGGGGCACCGCGGTGCGTTGTAAGATCATGCATGCACCTCGTTCAGCTGATAATGCTCGGCTGGCTCCCCCTCCCTCTCCAACGCTCCTTTCACTCGCTAGCACAGGGGAATTCTTTCCCCTGCTCTCTCTACCGTCTTGACAACATCCTCCTAGGGCCCTGTAGCCATGGATTGTAGGGACGATGATGACCCTGCTAGGTCGCATCGTCCACTTACTGGTCTCGACTTTCTGAGAGGCGGTCCGCCTACCGCCACGCCTGAAAGAGATCCGCCTGTGCAGCCCCCAGTTACCAACAACGAACCAACGGCAAGCACGGAGCCCTGGCCGGATTTTAATCAGCGGCAACAGCTGAGCGATCCGCCTGTGGAAGAGTCGCCCACTAGAGCGACCGGGCGCGTCGCAACTCCCACGGTCAGTGCTGTCCGAAGCGCAGGCGTCTCCCGGTTCCCGAAGTTCGGGAAGTTCACTCAATCGACTATTCGGTTTGCTCGAACTCGCGTACCTCATGTGCGCCTCACGCAAGGAAGGTCGCCCTCTCCCGCAGCTGCTGCTACTCCGCTGACTCCAGCGACTGGCACGAGCAGGGTGCCTTCGGATCCAGGGCCGTCCAGGCCGTCTATTTTGGTTCCGGATCCTGACGCGCTTCTCGAAGAACTGAAGAAGAAGTGCACCGACATCTGGCAACGTCGTTTCCCCTGGCTGTTGATATCACAAAGGAAGGATGGTCGCCCGTGCATGAAGTGCAGTGTCTGCATCAGATACGGACCGCCACACTGGCAGTACGGCAAGGCGGGCGAGGGTGGCGTGGACATCCAGAAGCAGATCATGCGCAAGCATGGTCTGAGTCGCAAGCATCAGGACGCCCTCGATCGTAAAGCCCGAGCCGAAGGAGGTAAAGTTGCTCAACGAGGGATTGATGAGTATGAGGACGGGGTGGGGGAGATTGAGCGTTTGAAACAACTTCTATTAGTGGTGCTTTTCATATGCAAGTCGGATGCACCTATTGCGCTCTTTGTTGGCCTTGTGCACCTGCTACACGTTCTGAACACCCCCAACATTCCCGACAAGGCCATCGGCACCTACCAGACAGAGTGAGTAATGCAACGTGATGTGATGTTTAGGTACTCATCATCATTGACTTATTGTCGTGCTTTTCATTATGGCAGATATGGGTTTCGGGAGATGACCGAAGCCATGGTGCAGCACCTGAAGGCCCGTCACATGCGATACATCCAAGAGTCGCCCTTTCTCGGGATTCAGCTCGACGAGTCGACTGATCGGAGGAAGGGCAAGCATCTCATCGTCTACCTAACCTTCATGAAGGAGGAGAAGGCGGTGACCGAGCTTTTCGGGCACCTAACCGTGGAGAAGGGCGACGCTTCATCTCTGCTCGCCGTCTTGCTGGCGCATCTGGACTGCAACGGGGTTGACATGCACAAGATCTCCGGCATCAGCACGGATGGCGCGAACGTCATGCTGGGCAGTCAGAATGGGCTGGTGGTTCAGCTGAAGATGCGAGTTCCGCATCTTGTCGCGTGTCATTGCCTTGCTCACCGGTGAGGTATTTTGCACTTCAAATTTTGCAGTATTGTTGTCAGATACATCTCCCCCTACTCGCTTGGTTTTTTTTTCCATCATCTAACAGAGAGGCTCTCGCAGCCAAGGATGCCGCGACGAACATCCCCGCCTTCAACATCGTCGACCAAGGGATCCGCGCCATCGCGACCCTCATTGGCGGAAGCCGCGTCGTCCACCAGAGGTTCCACGAGCTGCAAACCGTGATTCACGCCACGAACTTGGAGATGCAGGGGATTTTCGATGTTCGCTGGCTGTCGCGGGGCGATGCTGTTTCGAGACTTGTCGCTGTTCTGCCGGCTGCCATAGTGCTGCTCCACGAGAAAGACAGCACGACGTATCACCTGGTTACGAGCCTCAAATTTCATTTCTTTCTTTTTTTTCTCGCTGATGTCCTGAAGGAATTGAACGAGCTCAACAAGCGGTTTCAGCGACGATCGGTGAGCGTGTAATTAACGGTCGCCGATTTTGAAATTCGCTCTAGTCCCGAATGTCAGTGATTAACATTGTGTTTGTGCGTGATGTCGCAGGTGGACATCACCCGTGTCATGGGGCAGGTGCAAAACACCTGCGAGAAGTTGAACGCGCGCTATGTGGAGTACGGGGTGAACTTCGCGGAGGACAGCGAGCACCTCACTGCCTTCCTCGAAGCGCACTCCCATCCGTCCAAGCGGGTGGTCCAGGTGGAGGGGATGGATGGAGACGGCAACGCCGTCAAACACACCTTCAAGCTGCACGAGCTGGATGCGAAGAAGAAAGAGGATCCCTCGGGTGACGTCGAGTCCTGCGTGTCCCTCGCCACCCTGTTTGCGAAGGAGGTGATCGGCAGGCTACAGTACCGCATGCGAAGCTTGAAGTCCCTCGTTGGGTCCAAGCTATTTCTGCCAGACGCCTATCCGGATGGCGTGAACAAGCGCGACCGTCTGTGCGCGGAGTGGTTCAGCTCCCTTCGCAAGATGTTCAACGCCGAGCAGTGCGCTCTGCCAGGTACGTGTTTTCAAATTCCGCGTTGTCCCTAATCCCTTGTTTGTGTAACGACCCGTCTACATAGTGGGATGCTAACTAGATGTGCTGTGTGCTTGCAGGAGTCAACTGGAAGAAGGCCGAGCGGGAGCTTCCACGTTTCACCCGCGTGATGGTGTCACAGTACAAGGATCAATCCTTCCACGTGGCACTTAAGAACATGCTCAGGAGCGGGGATTGGGAGTCTTCTTTCCCCAATCTGGTTCGACTTTGGGTGGCAGTGGCTGTTCTTCCGCTCAGCACTGTGGAGTGCGAGCGAGGGTTCAGTCGCCAAAACGTAATCAAGTCGTGGCTCAGGAACAACCTCTGCAATGCGCGACTCTCCGACCTCATGTGCATCTCCCTGCTTGACTACGAACCAGACTGGGACAACGTGGTGAAGCTGTGGCGCGGGGCAAAGAAGAGGCGCCCTGCCAAAGAAGTCAGTGGAGTGGCAACTGCGAAGCGCAGGGAGGCAGAGACGGAAGCGGCAGGGAGGCAGGGAGACAGGGAGGATCTAGCACCTAACACGACAGCTCAGAAAGCGCCGTCCAATGACGACGGAGAAGCCAAGAGGAAGAAAGCCAAAACTCACATAGTAGATAGCGACAGTGAGGATGAAGGAGTGGATGTGCGTGCAACTGTTACACTGAGTGACAATGAGGCATCTGACTCTGACTCAGATAGCTAGATAGTTATTCTTGATATGTTTTCTTTGTAGAGAATAGCTGAGTAGTAGTTGTAGTTACAGTAGGGACGGGTTACAAAATCTGATTTTTAAGCCAAGTAATGTTAGAATTTCTGATGCGAAAGACAGGGGCGTGAAAATTTTCTGACCAGTCAGACGGGCCCGAAGGGCCCGTCTGACGCCTCAGGGGGGTTCAGAGACTAGCGAGGGCCCAGGCCTTCCATATTGGGACAATGGGAACGGTGTTGTGCGGCGGGGGTTAGCATAAGCTTCCTCTGCTTCCAATATTTCAGAGGGTGGCATTTTTTTACAGGCTGGGCTATAGCAACTCTTAGGGCGTGCTCCTACGACTCCTTATCAAGCTGTCGCAGGAAATTCCCTAAACCCAAAAATCCTCGCTACTTTTACCGTACTAGGCAAGGCTGACAAGAGGTTGGCCTGATAAGAGTGTAGGATCACGCCCTTAAGGAAACCGAATAAAAAGTACAGTTACAACTCTTGGTACTGATACACACAACCGAAATACAAATCCTTGGAATGAAACTGGGCAATCCCTAATGCAGGGCTCGAGCATGCATTCAAAGTTAGACCACGTGCAACTGACACTCTCCTGAGTCAGAGCAACTCACTAATACCGGTACCTTAATTACCCGTCTAATAGCCCCCTCCAAAATAACCCCCCCTCCTCAGAGGCTAATGTTATCTCCACTTTAGTACAAGCGACTAATCCACACTAGACCCCCCCGAAGTGCAATATCCTCAAAACCAAAGCTCCAGAAACTTCAACTTCAGCAGGCGATTTGACCACGCACTTGTCATGTGCGTACACCAGGATTACATCCCTGGTGGTAAAAGACTGAAACACTTCACAGAGCGGGTATATCCAGGGTTCTGCATATTCCTGGTAACGGTGCAAAAGAGGGGAGGGGATGGCACATTTGAAAATAAAAAATAAACAAACAAACAAACAACAACAACAAAAAAAAACAAACAAAGATGACTCAGAAACGCTGCATATCTGACAACCGGAGCAGAAAGGGAAGTGAAAGGGTAGTGCAGTGCAGGAATGATGGTGATGATGATGATGATAATGGAGAGCGATCAGTCAGCCACTTACAGTTGAACCTTTGTATCCAGCCGTTTCTCGAGAGAAAACAACTGAGAATCAGGGTTCCCTTCGCAGTTGTCCGTACTGAATTCCTGGTATTTGTAGCAATACGCATTGGACTTGACACTGTATACGGTATACTTGGTAGTGTACTTTCCAGCCACTGCAGCTGGGAACTGCGTGCAACCGTCCGTGTTATAGCGGAGGGTGTAGGGCCGGGAGGTATAGTCCTTGGCTGCTGAATTCGCGATGAGTGTGTAGCTGTTGCCACCAACTGTGTCCTTTCCTCCTGAAAAAGAGCGTGAAACAGAAGGGCTCGGAAAAATGTTTGTTTCCATCTTATTTGATGCTATTGCTCTAGCCATATTGCATTCTTCTGCCCACACAGCCATGGTATAGAGAGGTTTTCAAGAGAGGGAGCATGCATTGACCAAGCTCACATTGGGCACATTTGGTGGCAGTCTAGGGCGAGTGAGGAGTGCGTAGGGCAAGTGAGGAGTGCGTAGGGCAAGTGAGGAGTGCGTAGGGCGAGTGAGGAGTGCGTAGGGCGAGTGAGGAGTGCGTAGGGCGAGTGAGGAGTGCGTAGGGCGAGTGAGGAGTGCGTAGGGCGAGTGAGGAGTGCGTAGGGCGAGTGAGGAGTGCGTAGGGCGAGTGAGGAGTGCGTAGGGCGAGTGAGGAGTGCGTAGGGCGAGTGAGGAGTGCGTAGGGCGAGTGAGGAGTGCGTAGGGCGAGTGAGGAGTGCGTAGGGCGAGTGAGAGGAGAGTAGGGCGAGTGAGAGGAGAGTAGGGCGAGTGAGAGGAGAGTAGGGCGAGTGAGAGGAGAGTAGGGCGAGTGAGAGGAGAGTAGGGCGAGTGAGAGGAGAGTAGGGCGAGTGAGAGGAGAGTAGGGCGAGTGAGAGGAGAGTAGGGCGAGTGAGAGGAGAGTAGGGCGAGTGAGAGGAGAATAGGGCGAGTGAGGAGAGGAGAGAGTAGGGCGAGTGAGGAGAGGAGAGAGTAGGGCGAGTGAGGAGAGAGTAGGGCGAGTGAGGAGAGGAGAGAGTAGGGCGAGTGAGGAGAGAGTAGGGCGAGTGAGGAGAGAGTAGGGCGAGTGAGGAGTGCGTAGGGCGAGTGAGGAGTGCGTAGGGCGAGTGAGAGGAGAGTAGGGCGAGTGAGAGGAGAGTAGGGCGAGTGAGGAGAGGAGAGAGTAGGGCGAGTGAGGAGAGAGTAGGGCGAGTGAGGAGAGGAGAGAGTAGGGCGAGTGAGGAGGAGAGAGTAGGGCGAGTGAGGAGAGGAGAGAGTAGGGCGAGTGAGGAGAGAGTAGGGCGAGTGAGGAGAGAGTAGGGCGAGTGAGGAGAGAGTAGGGCGAGTGAGGAGAGGAGAGAGTGGAGACTCACCCTGGACACATTCGGTGGCGGTCATCCCGTAGCCTGAAGGGCACTCGCAGTAAGGCACCTGGATTGGAATGCTGCCCTTTGATGGCACGGCCTTGCAGGTGGCTCCAGTGGGACAGTTGCCACAGGGTGAGTCTGAAAAGGGGGGTGGACATGGGTGCAGAGCGGTACATCAGTGCAATGGTAGTGGGGACAGTAAGGCACTTGTATCGGAGTGCTGGTCCTTGCCGGACCGGTCTTGCAGGTGGCTCCAGTGGGGCAGACGCCACAGGGTGAGTCTGAGGGGTGGGGTGGGAAGGGGTGCAGTGCGGTATGTGAGTGCAAGGAGGGTAGGCGCCTCAAGGTGAGGCTGGGGAAGGCAGCATGCAATTGAAATGCAAGGGATGGGGAGATGCAAGGGATGCACTCATGATGCACATTATGCTCTCATGATGCACATGATGCACTCTCACTCACTCTACCAATACATAAGATGGCACTGGTGGACTGATGAATCGCCCATGCATCTTAATGTACTAACGCATGTGCTGAGGGAAGCGGGAAGGATAAGACTCCAAAAAAAAAAAAAAAAAAAAAAAAAACTTACCCCACTGACAGAAGCGATCTCCGTTCTGATCCTTCACACAGGTGCCATCCGGCTCACAGCGCAACGCGTCACATGCACGATCAACTGCACCACAGGCGAACAGAAAGGGGCAACTAAGAAAGATATGGGAATGCCACCACAAAGGTGCCATCCGGCTCACAGCCCAACGCCGCACAACTGCAGAGGCGAAAAGAAAGGGGCAACAAACGAACATATACCCTTCCCTTTAGGAGAATAGACCTCACAGGCAGGACCTTCAGCATCACGAAGACAAGAGGGCGTTGCAACTTGTATCGAAGCAACATCAAAATACATCAGAGTAAAAAGGGGCAGCAAGGGACGCACCAGTGTCGCAGAGCACAGACAACACCGAAGCCCACTTGCTGACCGCCTTTCCGCTGCTCGGAAACCTGAAGGGCGTTGCAAGTGAAAGCAAAAGATAGAACAGAACATGCTCAGTATACACTGCTTTTTATCGCTCCCATTCCCTGAGAGGCGCTGCAAGTGGAAGCATAAGATATATCACAGCGAGTTAAGAAAACACTTTAATATGCCCCCTCCCCTTCCCTCCCCTCTGAAACTAACAAGGACGCATCTCCTGCGCGGGTTAACTATGCTCCCAAATGACTTTCGAGGCGCCTCCCTCAACAACCCTGCCCTCCCCTCCGCACTCCAACTCACAAGGACGTATCGCCAGCAGTGCGCGGGTTCTCCTCGCCATCCAGCGCCGTGCCTTTGCAGCCACCTGTTGAGTTGAGACGCGTCTAAAGTTACCACCCGCCATTCACATGCCACCACTAACAGAGAACATTCCAACTCACGGGGAAGTGTCGCCAGCAGTGCGCGGGTTCCCCACACTGTCCAGCGCCGTGCCTTTGCAACCAGCCTTCTTAAAGAACTTGACCTGCGCGCACTGTACGCCTTTCGCCGTGCCGCCCGCCGTGCTTCCCGCCGTGCCGCCCGCCGTGCTGCCCGAGCCCGAGGAGGAGCTCGAGGGATCACTGCCCTTCCACCACACTGTCACGTTGCTCCGCATCACCTTCTTGGTCACGCTCACGCAGCGCTTGCTGCTGAAGCTCAGCCGCGTCGCTCCCAACTCCACCTCCGTCGCGACCTGCGCGCTGCCCATGCTGGCGCTGCCGCTGGTGGCGCTGCTGCCGCTGGTGGCGGCAGAGAGCATGCTGCGGTGTGCCGTACGTTGAGTCACGCTTTTCACCGTGTCGTCGCCATACGCTGCCTCAATAATCTGAACTGCTGCAGAGGACAAGGGAGACGCTGTGCGGAGAAGAAAACAGAGAGCAGATAAGAGGGAGCAGGAACGCGGAGAAGAAAACAGAGAGCAGATAAGAGGGAGCAGGAACGCGGAGAAGAAAACAGAGAGCAGATTTGAGGGAGCAGGAACGCGGAGAAGAAAACAGAGAGCAGATAAGAGGGAGCAGGAACGCGGAGAAGAAAACAGAGAGCAGATATGAGGGAGCAGGAACGCGGAGAAGAAAACAGAGAGCAGATAAGAGGGAGCAGGAACGCGGAGAAGAAAACAGAGAGCAGATATGAGGGAGCAGGAACGCGGAGAAGAAAACAGAGAGCAGATATGAGGGAGCAGGAGCGCGGAGAAGAAAACAGAGAGCAGATATGAGAGAGCAAAGAAGAGGAGAAGAGAGGATAGAGCCGAAAATACAGAACGGGTGGAAAACAGAAGGGATCAGGAAGGAAGTAGCAGCGAGAAAAGCATGGATCTGATAGGGAAAGGGCTGATCACAAGTCATAGATTTCGCAGAAATAAGAGCGAAGAAGACTGACCACAGATTAGGGCAAAGGCGAGAAGGAGGAGACCGGCAGGAGAGGCGCGCATAGACCCCATGATGATAATCTAATGCAAGGATAGTCTAGCGAAACGAAAAAAGTGGAAGGAGAGGGTAGAATCTCAGAAATGGAGGAATGGCAGGCTTGCTTCTGACTGTGCCTGCACTGTAAATATATGCTGCGAGTAACGATCATGAGTCAAGCCCAACAGCCACCGCGCCATGGCGAATCCTAGGAACGCGATGCGTGCTTGGCTCGGCATGAGTTGCGGGGAACGAAGCAGCTTGAAGGCTAGGAACGCGATATGGCTTAGCTCGAATGAGTCCCCAGGACGAGAAAATGTGAATTTTAGGAACACGATACGAGAGTTTCAGTTGCGAACCAATAGCGCAAAGCAGTGGCTTCCAGCAAGGCCTTATCCGTTTGTGGCTTCCAATCAGGTTCAGCATTGGTGATGACATGGCAACGCGAGAATAGTTTGGAACCAGCAGCAGCATTATTTGGCGAGCATATGCAACTAGACAGGTTAGTAGCTTATCTGTTTGACCCTGTCTGTTCGAGAGAGACGCGTTCCAACGAAGTTCAATCTAGCCATGTAAGCTGGCGTGAATCGCGGACACCGAAGTTGTGAATGTGAAGCGGAAGAGTGAAGTTTTGAAGCTCGAGAGATGATCAACGGACGTAGAGCAGAGGTGGACACGAACGCGATCTGCCGCAGAAGCAGGCAATCGAGGGAATTGTGACCGTCCAAGGCAGTCATCGTGAATTGATTTTCCATCTGTTCGCCCACACACTCGTTTCAATATAGTACCCTCTTAGGGCATGTAGCATAATCTGATAGATAACGTTAACTTTTGATTATGATGTCACACATGTCCACCTAAAGTTGGCATTCCTACGTAGACAATTATTGGTATAAATAAAAAGAATTCAATTTATCCGATTTCTACGTTATTAATTGTCTACATGGTGATCCTGCAATCACAGGTAACTTTGTATAAGGTGAAGTGTCTCCTAATATATACTTGGGTGGTGCTGTAAACTTTAACGTCACAAAAATTACCGTAGTGTGGGAACAATTCGTCTTTCTGACTAGCATAGATACTGCTATGAGTGAGATGTTATCGGAAACGCCTATGAATGGACAGACGAACAAGGGCGGAAACTGGGACGCAGCACCTCTGGCGATTTTGCAGGATCGATCGTGCAAATCAATCCTCCACCGCACTGAAATCCCGAGTATTACATACAAAACATTATGAGCTGTTTTCCACCCCGTAAAAAATCGATCCTGCGCAGGATCGATCCTGAAAAATCGCTAGAGGTGCCGCGTCCTACTAAATAAGGCTCAACAAAGGTTCAGTGCTCCAGATGCTAGGACGAATGTCAGCAATCAGCACCATTCTTTAGGTGTGCTGTGCTCGCTATAATGCGGCCCAAGCAAGGTATAAGCTCTATCAGGCGTTATGACTGCTCAAGGTTGAGCATTGGTTTCCCCAAGCACACCCATTAAAAACTTGCCGTTCTTCATACGACCCCTACCGACCAACCGTCAAATTCTCCCCCCATGGAATTCATTTCTGTGCCCGCGAAATGTTTTCGAGTCGCCAGCCGGAAACATGAATCACATTGCTCAACTCAAATTCGCATGCTCTCAAAAGGACGAGCCGCGACGAGACCACCATCTTATACAATTTGTCGCCAGCCGTTTGCGAAATTACGTTCTGCGACTTGCGCGCGGTGAAGGCAATTTTGTGACCAATTTTCATCCCCTCCTTCCCATCACGCGCCGCGATTTTACAGCCCCATCGATGTTCAAATTCTGAGAATCTCGTTGCTTTCCCCATCAATCTCATCTCACCTCTCACAGAAACAGCAGATTTCAGGCTCCTCTCAAGCCTACTCTCTGCATTCGCTCTCAGCCTCCACAAGGCAACTATCGCGCTTCTCCCACTTTCAACTGCACTTTACCACCCCAACCGCTGATCACCATCGTCGCTGTGTTCTCAGCTCAGAAATTTCAGCGTCAAATACTTTCATCAGTCGAAAATGGCGGTGTCAAACACCTACTGGATCACTCTCGTGCTCCTTCTCGCCCTTCTCTCGATGTCCGCCGCCTTCGCCGTGGAAGATCTCGCCCCGCATTTTGAGAACAAGCCTCGGAAGGGCCTCTTTAGAGTGAAGATCCGTCTCGGCGACAAGCCATCACACCCCATCCGCGGACTGTCGGAAAAGAACTCCGCTAACGCGGCTCCGTCAACCTCCGCCCAATCGCAGCTCTCCTCGCTGCTCGCGTCAACCACCTCAGCCGTCCGACGGATTCTTCATGGCACGATGATCGGCCACAACTCGCCCGCGTCCGGCGCCGCATCTGCCGGCCGCCACCACAACTCTCGCCTCCTGCAGGACCTCGCGAACACGCGCATCGCAACTACCCGCGCCAGTGGCGGGCATCCCGCGGGCGTGGGGCACCATGGCGCGGGGAAAGGTCACCACGGCGCGGAGGTGGGGCATCACGGCGCTGGCAATGGCGGACACGCGGTCGGCGAGAAAGTGGGGACGATGATCGGCCACCACCCCTTCGGCAAGGGCCACCACTTGAAGCCTGGCCAGCTGTGCCTCGGGAACCAGTCAGTGTGCGACGTCTGGAAGGGGACTGCCGAGGGTTTCGACACCTGCTGCGGGTAAGGGCCTCCTTTTTCGAAGGGCACACCATGATCACTCCTGGTGCAACCTGCTTGCTTTGAACTTCCACGGCGGCTCCTGCTCGCCCCATGAATACCTCAAAATCGCTGATTTTTGTTTCTTTCTCGTCACTGACACCCTCTTAATTTCATCTAATATCCTCTTTCCTCCCCGTCTTCATCCCTCCAGGCGCGCCTGCCGCAACGTGCTAACCGACAACTTCCACTGCGGCTCGTGCATGACGCCGTGCAGCGGCTCGTCGCAGTGCTGCACGGGCATCTGCACCGACACGCTCACCGACGCGCAGAACTGCGGCTCGTGCGGCCAGCAGTGCCTCGGCGGCGCCAAGTGCGTCGCGGGCGTGTGTGAGACGTACGGCGGCGCCGGGCCGTCTGGCGCCGGGAGATAATGCGCCCGAGGGGTGGCTAGTTTTAGGGTGAGCCGGCGACTTGTGCAAGCTCTGCACAATGAATATATAGTTAGCTAGAAAGTGTTGGTGAACGCGTGTCCCTGACCGACCATCTCCAATGTGAAGTAGCTTAGTATTATGATACTTCTGATGGTTGAGTCAAACTTAGATTATCAACGAAAGTGCAACCTTGACCAACAAACTTCAAACTTCACAGGATAGTAGTGTCTCGTGCAGTCTTCAAACAGACCTAGAATTGCGGAAGGAACACCGTGCAGTTTCATTTGTTGTTTGTGCTCTGTAAGTCAAAACACATGTTATAGCAGGTGAGATTATGGAGGGATTAAGCTTGTGGAGGGGATTGATCTGCAGAGTGCATTGTCATCCTTTTGTCCCAATCTGCATCCTAGGATGGGGGGAGTGGGGGGTGGGGGGTGTTCCATGGGTGGATGTGCCGTACTTGTTAGACTCAATTGTAGACGTCCCCAATTCCTGGGAGTTTGAGTTAGGGGTGAGCATTTTATGAAAGGGTTTACTAGGGCCTAGTTTTTTGCTGATGTGTTCTGTATATAGTAATAAAGCCTCCTTTCTTCATCAAAATGATTTATACCTAGTGTGCTAACCACCTTGCATGAGTGATGTTACTGTAGCTGAGCAATGCGTGTGACATTTTTCGAAGAGCAAAAAACTCCGGACTTTGTGCGACGTACGTCCGGACGCTTGCGAAGCTAGTGACATCGCACAGTTTATCTGCGACGCAAACAGCGTCGTTAGGACGCAAGGCAGCGCATACGACGTCGCTCAAATTTTGACGAGTATTATGGCGAGATTAAACGACTTCAGTAACCACAAAACCGTCCGGACCGGTGGCCGTCCGGACGAATCAAATAGAAATGTTACACGCCCTAGTGACGAAGCATTGTTCACCTTCATCTCATTCTCCAATCGCTGCCCGATCACTCGTCCCAGCGTAGCAACGGGCTGCCAGCGAAAGGTTGTAAACCAATGTGAAGTTTATTCCGCCGCCTGCCTGTCCGAAGATGCCTTCTCGTACTGGTCGAATCCAGCTCGATAGACGATCTGTCAAGTTTTGGGTCGCTTGAATAAACCGCTAGCTGTTAACATCGTGTATTCTCACGTGCACAGACGAGCCGTGACAACAGCAAGGCTCCATGGCGAGACCACGTCCAGCAGCATGCGCCTCGGGACACGGTGTTTCATCCTTCTTGGTGAGCAGAAATTTGTGTTGAACAAAGCATTACCAGGATACACCATGTCAAAACGTCGAGGACCGTCCTAGACCGTATTAAACTAGCCGATGCACAGGAATCTGGTTATGCAGCTGTGAATGAAATGAGAAGGAACTGGTTCAATGTGTGTTGTCAGTCCCTGAGACTCTCTCCTGCCCCGACTCCTCACTCCTCTTCCTGAGTGCTGTATTTATTGCACAGCAGTTTCTCCCATCACCCGTTCCGTCACTTTCGCAAATCAACTCAGGCTCTCCATATCACTTTTCCCACTTCATTTGGTTTATGCACACCGTATCTATTGCCTCCGCCTAGGACCCTCGTTGGTAAATCTCGCATCCTGTACCGTTTCGACTCTACAAACCGCCATGGACTCGAGTCGCTTATCACCGACGTCACCGTTAACGCCAGACCGCTCCTGGTCCCATCCTTGCTCTGTAAAAGATGCCTCCCCTTTCGACCTGTCTGCGTCATCCCATTCGCATGAAACGCCATTGCAGAATGAGAACAGCCCCGTCAACCCCGAATCCACCGATTTCGATCATCACGTGTCAAACGCTTTTCATTCTACTTCGTCAGAAAAATCCCAGGAGTTTCGCGCCGCCGCGAAAGCCTCGGCAATCTCAAGATTATGGGGCGGCGCCGGCGCGGCAACCACTGCTCTGCCAGCATGCGGCCGGCAGGGATGTGGAGTTGCCGGACCGGCAGCTATTAGCCGGCCGCTGACCGGCGACGAGGAGCTGTGGTGGCGCGCAATGCATGGCGGCACTGGCGTCTGTGTTGTGGGGTTGCAAATCTCCGGCCACGTCAGCATCGACGAGGTAAGCATCTGCGTGCTATAAGTTTCCGCTCCAGCTTCCCGCGTTCCTCCCGTCATTCCACCATCCCCATTCTGCCCATCATTCCCGCCGTCCCCCACTCCGCCATTCTTAATTCTGTCATTCTTACATCTGCACACTATCCTCCCTCCTCACCTCGCAGGTTCGGGCAGCCATCGAAACTCTGTCTGCCCGGCACCCCGTCCTGTCCGCCCGGATAATCAAGCCGCCCAAGTCCCACCAGCCCGAGCTCCACGTGTGCCGACCTCCCCAACCAATCACCGTGCGCGAATGTGACACTGCTGACGTGGCAACGGCGGACGAGTCAGATTGTCAGAATGGAATGTTGCATCGTGTGGTCGAAACGGAGCTAAACACGCCCATGGTCGACGGTCGAGATCATCCTGTGGCTACGAATAATAGAGATAAGGGCGAGGCGTCTGTTGACGTGTTCCAGGTCCACGTGTACGCGTCCCATTCGTCCACGCTCTTCGCGCTCCGGTCGCACATCGCCGCACTGGACGAGCATTCGGCGCCGCCCATCGCGGCGGAATTCTTGGAAGAACTGCGACGCGTGAAAAAGCATCTGAACCGCAACTCGTCATCCTCCCCATCCTCCCCTTCCTCCTCTTCCCCTACCTCCTCTCCTTCCTCCTCTTCCCCATCTCCCTCCTCCCTCTCGTCCTCTGAAGATCAGACCGCCGCTCCTTCCCTTCCTCCTCCCCTCGCTGCGCTCCTCCCCAAGGCCCTCTCCGCTAAAAGCTCATCCGTTAAAGGCACATTCGCGCAAGCCTTCAACGCCGTGGGTTACGTGCGCAACGCCCTCATTTCCTCGCACCTTCCTTTCGAGCCCGGGCGAGCTGACTCGAGGAAGAATTCGTTTACGACGCGATTCGCTACAGTCACATTCACTAAGGAGGGTAAGCCGCTCTCAATCCCAAACAAACAATCATTTATGACCAGTATACACGTCTCTCCCACTTCCCAAAGTCCTCAAACTCACTTATATTCCCCGCTTTCCCTTCTCTTTTCGACGTTCACCCTCCATTGTTGCAAAACGACAGAAACGGCCGCCCTTCTGGCCGCAGCGGAGTCGCACAGATGCTCCCTGTTCTCCCTGGAGTGCGCAGCAGGGCTCAAAGCTGCCGCCCGGATGAAGCAACTGGGCGGCAGAACTGAAGTTTTCAGCCTGGGAAGGTGAGATGCAATGACCGAATAAAATCAGCGAATCAGTAACTGAATCTACGAATGTAACTGAAGCAAATTGACAGAACATGAACGAGAGAATCAATGAAGTTTGCACTGATTGAGCAGTGGCAATGCGAGTACCAGTCGGATCTGCCTCTTCACCCTCTTCCTTCCTCTTCCTCTATTCCCCCCTTTTCCTCCCACCCTACCCCCTTTTTCCCCACCCTCCCCTCTCCAGTGCCATTGGTTGCCGCACCATTCTCGACCCGCCCCTTCCCCAAACCGCCTTGGGCGAGTACATGTCAATGCTGCCTCTCAAGCAGGAGGTTTCCGAGAAGCTGCCCTTCTGGGACGTTGCCACGTCAATCAGCGCCCATGCTGAGTCAGCACTGCAGCGGCAGCAGCAGTTTACAGACATGCCAGTTCTCGAGCTGCTCTTCTCCACGGTACGTGGGGATTCACGGGTTACAACAGGGAGAATCCACATGTTCATAGTAATAGTGCTATGATGGTGCAAATCAGCACTGCAGCAGCACCGGCAGCAGCAGCAGTTCACCGACATGCCAGTTCTCGAGCTTCTCTTCTCCACGGAAAAAGCACCTGAGAAGGAAAAAGCACCTGAGAAGGAAAAGGCACCTGAGAAGGAAAAGGCACCTGAGAAGGAAAAAGCACCTGAGAAGGATAAAGCACCTGAGAAGGATGAAGTTAACATCAGTTGTGCTCGGCTGGTGCTACTCAGCACTGCAGTAGCAACAGAATCAGTATGTGGGGATTCAAGGGTTTCAACTGCAACAATCCATGGGTTACATCTGGAAGGATGTACGGGTTACAACTGAATAAAATCATAAGTCAACTGGAAGTTCACAGACAGGTATTCATGAAGGAGTGAAGGGAGAGCTTACACACCTACTCACCGGAAGCTACTGTTCTTCTCGTTACAAAGTTTCAGGTTTCCAGGTTTCCTGGACCAGCGTACAGAGATTCCATGTCAGCAAGCAACTTGTAATACTGTTCCCGAATTCTGTTCCCGAATTCTGTTCCCGAATTTTGGCCATCTCATTTTCTGCTTGCTGCTCTCTTTTCCGTTCTTGCTTTCCAGGCCATGAAGATGCCGAGCCTCTCCCCAGACCACTCCCTCCGAACCTGCTTCATCACGGCCGGCATGCTCGCACCCCTCAAGGTCAACTGGCAGATATCCAAACCAGATGCCGAAGCTGGTGTGGAGGCTCGGGCCGAGGCTACTCACTTGACAGGCATGGGGTCGGAGCCGATACAACTGGAGCAGGTGCTCGGCCCTGTCGTGTCTGCCCATGGGGTCGGCCCTGCCATTGCCATTCCCGATACCCTTTCGGTGAGAACCACATTCATCCAACCAACAATTACTTTCTGGAGCAAGTGCTTGTGCCTGTTGTGTCTGCCCATGGGGTCGGACCTGCCATTGCCATTCCAGATACCCTTTCGGTAAGTGATCCATTGAATTACCCATTCAACACTCATGGGGTCGGAGCTGGTACAACTAGATCAAGTGCTTGGGCCTGTCATGTCTGCCCATGGGGTCGGACGTGCCATTGCCATTCTGGATACTCTTTCGGTGAGTCACACATTCATTCACCCAAACAAACCATTCTATTGAGAGTCTCTTGTGATACATGCCTGCTGAGCTCGCCCTCAGATTCTCCTTCGTCCTATACTGCTTGTCCAAACAGCATTAAGATTTCATGCGTAATGTACCGGTAGATGTGTTTAACATGTAGCAATAACATACTCCCTAACGAATCCCAACCTTACAGGACGGCGTCCTCCGGCTGAGCTTCGTGTTCGTCACGCCGCTCTTCACACGCGAGCGCATGGCGACATTCGCGACTCTCACGCGCGACTTCATGCTAGAAGCTACCAACTAGTGGTAACTTCACAGCGTTCTTTACCTGAGATTCGTGTTCATCACGCCGCTCTTCACTCGCAAGCGCACGATGGCATTCGCTGCACCCACGCGCGACTTCATGCTAGAAGCTACTAACTTGTAACTTCACGACATCTTCCGGCGGAGTTTCGTGTTCGTCACGCCTCTCTTCACTCGCGAGCCCATGGCAACATTCGCGACTCTCACGCGTGACTTCATGCTAGAAGCTGTCCGTTTGTAACTTCACATGCGACCGGGTTCCCCGGCTGAGCTTCTCGCCCCTCTTCGCTGCACTCACGCGCGACCTCATGCTTGATGCTGCCCGGGTAACAACCTTCAACAAGTGAATCACCCTGCTGTTACAGTTACGGTAGCATGTATCTTCCAAGTATAGTTGCTCTGACTGGCAAACTGGCCATGGGCTCTGTAGAGTAAGGTGTATAAAAGCTTGGTGTCTTGTCTGCAATTTCTTTCCTATTAAACTCATCAGAGTGCAAGATATAGGATTGTACCGTAATACAGCACAATACACCACTCCGAGCAGCTAGGAGTAAGCCTCAACCACAAGACTCCTATCTTAGGAGGCCCTCTAAGCAGCCGCTCCCTCTGCCCTCCCTGCTGCTGCCCGTTAGCCTGCTCTCTGGCTTGAAAAGAAGGAAGGACCATCCTTTGGTATACATTGATATGATGACCTTCCTTCATAATAGTTCAACCTGGAGTCCTGGGGGTGCCTGGGTGACTGGCAAAGGGAGAAGGAACCCCTAACCCTGCTGTTACAGCTTTGCAGTGCCTCGCAATTCAACCTGGTCCCCCTACCCCTGCTGTTACAACTCTGAAGTGCCTCGAGATTCAACCTGGAGTCCTGGGGGTTCCCGGGTGACTGGCATAGGGAGATGGACCCCCTACCCCTGCTGCTACAGCACTGGGATGGTTCGGATAACCCTGGTAGTTGGGTGGTCTTGGGTATGATGAATGGTGAGGGTACCCAGGTGGTTGATATGATTGATGGTGTTGTGGATGGTAAAGCGGTTGTTGCGAGGGATGTGGCATGTGGGAGGGGTAATGCGGCATGGAGGAGGGGTGGGAGGGCGTGGATGGGTGGTGATGGTGATTCGGGGGCATGTAGGCAGAAGGATGCATGGATGGGGATACAGGGTGGGGGGAATAAGGACCCCATGGGGAAGGGGGATTGGAGTGCAGGTGAGATGGGTTGGAAGGGTGAGGCGTGTAGGAAGGATAGGAGGAGTGAGGAGGGTGAGAAGGGTGAGACGGTTGAGAGTGGTAAGAGGGAGTGCGAGGGGAGTTCAGATGGGAAGGGCGAGACGAGGGAAGGCCTCCCCGTTGGTATGGGTCTGATCTGAGGTGTGAGGGATGGGAAGGGTGTGCGGGGGACGATGAGTGCGGTGAAGATGGTTGCGAAGGTGTGGAAGGGTGTGAGGGCGTCTCAGGCCGAGAATATACACCCTGCCCGGGTTCACCCCCTTGCGAGTACCCGCTAACGTTTCCTTGCGGATACCCTGGAAAATACCCTTGGGAATGCCCTTGGGGATACCCTTGAGAATACCCATGAGAATGCCCTTGGGGATACCCTTGAGAATACCCATGAGAATGCCCTTGGGGATACCCTTGGTTATACCCTTGGGAATTGTTCCCTTGGTATCTTTCCACGGACGGGTCTTGGCCGGGGCTGCTTGGACGACCTGCAGGATTCTTTTGATAATTCTCTGCGGGGCGGTTTTGAGAATCACTGCGAAAGGAGCCGCCGCTGCTGAAAGAACCACCGTTGTCACCACAGATACTTCTACCTCCTCTCCCTCCTTTCTCCCCTCGCCCAATCCCCCGGCCTTCCTCTGCTCGTCCCAGCCAGCTTCTCGGAATCTTCTCCTTCTTTTCCTCCCCCATGTGTTGAAGCTCTGGCGGCTGCGTCTCAGCGAACACTTCCGTGGGCTTTAAGCTCCCGAAGAGGCTGAGAGACTTGGAGGTAGAAGAGGGGTTGTTTGATGTGTGGAGGAGAGACGGGGGCTTGAAGAATGGCCGATACGGGGATTCGACGTCAGGAACGTACTTGTCGATCTGGGAGGGGAGGGGGGGGGTGGAGAGCGGTGGGGAGGGGTGGAGACGGGCGAGAAGGGATGAATGTCGTGGTTGTTGTTGGTGAAGCAATGGAGAAGGACGGAGAAGGAAAGAGCGGTATGAGGACGGATGCGGGAGGCTGGAAAATTGGAGGAGATTGAACTGTCCCCGACTCAGGACGACTCAGAACACTAAGGCGACAGCTTGAGCTTCGCTGGAGTGTTTTGAGACGTCTCAATAGTCGTCGCCAACGAAGCAACGAACGCCAACGAACGTTAGCGAACGCAAAGACGTTACCTTGAGCTTCTCTGGCGGTTCCCTCGCGGCGATCAGCACGCCGACGACGAAGGAGCACGAGCACGCGAGGATTCCCAACCCGCAAATTAACGACTGGCATGTGGTCGCTGTCGCCATTGGCGAAGCTGGAAAAACCAGCAGGCGGATCGACTATTATTGCGTTTTTAACTACACATGGACGACTTCGGAAAGAATGAGACGCACTAATAATAAATTAAATTAATGTCAGCGCGCAGGTGTCTCTAACGACGACCGCTGATATATACACGAATCACGCGGCAACCGAGACTTGCTGCACGTGATGACAACTGGAGGAAGCGATGGCGCCGAGAGAGTGACCGCGTCGCGAGCGCAGGTATTACTGGCAGGTAGGACCAGATACTAGAATAGTTGAAAAGTGTTAGGTGGATTCGAGAAGGACCCTTGGGATTCGACTCTGGCGAAGCTTTGTCGTGTGTTGGTACATATGCGATCTCTTGACGGTTATGCGAAGACCACAGTGATGCATTATGTACGCGATGGTGACCCGTCATGCTTCAGTACAAAATATCATATGAGCTGAAAATATACGAAACAGCCATATTATAATGTGTTCAAGATGATAATGTTTCAGTTCAACACATTATTGTCTGTCACCACTCATTTCTACACAATCTATAACCCAATAACCCGTTGTGTGATATCCTCAAAAGATTTAACGTCCTGTTTCCATAACCTGCTCAGGGATAGACAATGCAAACAGAACAAACACAAAGAAAAATGGATGATAAGATTCCACATGCACTCTTCCATGAATCCAACTCATTCCTCACGTTTCGCTTCCTTGTGTCTCACCATGCATGCAGGCCAGCTTCCATGGCCCAACTCAAATATTTTACTCCATCCTCTCCCTCATGCACAATGACTAAAAAAACTGCATGCAAATATACATGCAGGCCACATCCTCTACAGTTAATCGCCAATATTACATGTCAGCATGCCTCACCATGAATGCAAACCAGCATCCATGGCTCCTTGTAGGTCATTCCCTGCTTTATCCTCCCCACAAGCATGGCTTGTCTCGACTGGAAAATGCATACAGAAGGCATGTACACCACCTTTCAGCAATTTACCCGTCTCGAATGTCAGCACGTCCCACCATGCACGCAGACCAGCATCCATGGCTGCTTTCAGGTCATTCTCTGCATCATCCCCCACATGCATAACTCGTCTCATTCGAAAAACAAACTTTCATACAATATGCGTGTACACAGGATTCTCTACAGTCAATCGACAACCCCTTTCACATGTCAGCACGTCTCACCATGCATGCAGGCCAGCATCCACGGCTCCTTGTAAGTCATTAACTGCATCGTCCCCCACATGCACTGCGCGACTGGGAGACGACACTCCTAGTTCCTCTTTTATGGCGAGAAGGAGGAGGGGGACACGGGAACAAAGAAAAGGGGAGGTGCAAGGGGGAGTAGAAGATGGAAAACTATTGTATCGGGGCCGCTTTTGAGTCGTTCACTGCATCGTCCCCCACATGCACTGCGCGACTGGGAGACCACACACCGATTTGTTCTGTGGGGGACAAGGTGAGGACGGAAAGGGGGAAAAGGAGAGGGGAGGGCGAAAGAAGCGAGGAGGAGGGAAAAGCCTTGTGGTGCTTTAGAGGTAACCCGCTCGACTGGGCGACGACATGCCTAGTTGCTCTGTTGTGGATAAGGGACAGAAACGGTGGGGAGTAGAGGGGGCGGAGGAAGGGCTGGGAGGGGACGGCCAGGGCGGGGTTGGTGGGGAGAAATAAATGGAAGAGACGGTAGAGACACGCTTATGGAGTTGCTTGAAAACGAGATTGAGTATTTTCACACAGCTTTGATATCGAGGTTTGGTAAGTCTTTGTTCCCACGAACATCTCCAGGGCTGTATAGCATCTCAATCGAAACTCCCTCCCTCCACCCAGTAAAACCGAATAAGTTATTACCAAGAGCAATGGCGAAAATCTCTGGTGATGGCTTCTCGTATTTAACTTCAGCGGATACGACTATGGCGTCAAACCTGTGGGGAACAGGACAAGGCAGTCAACAGAAAAAGAAAGAAAGAAATAATATAGCAACCCAATGAGCTGTATTTTTACATAGGTGTGTCACCTCAATTGGCTTGAAGGAGCAACTCACAGCAAGTCGACTTGAAGGTCCCGTAGAATTGGGCGCAATCTTGAGTCAAAGTTGGACACTATCGCCAGGCGGACTGCGAGAAGAGCATGGTGGAGTGGGGAGAAACGAACAAAGAAGAGCAATCTTTAGTGTGAAAAAGGAAGGCGGACGTCACAGGGAGTCGACTTGGAGGTCCTCAGAATTGGGCGCAATCTTGAGTCAAAGTTGGACACTATTGCCAGGCGGACTGGATGGGAAGGCGGGGAGAAACGAAGGGAGGAGAGCAGCTATGCAGTGTTACAGTACAAGAAACACGAGCGTGTCTTTTCAGGCGCCTCAAAACACGAGTGTGCGAGGGACCAGATTGAAAACAATGTCGGAGAACACCTCTCCTCCCGGCCCCTGTTCTTCTTCCTGCTGTCCTTCTTCAACACCTGCTCCTCTTACTGCCCTCTCCCCCCCCTCCCTTCTCTGCCTTGCCCTGCCTCAGCCACCCACTGCTGAAAGAGAATAGTCCCTCACCCCGTAGGTTCCCTCTTAGTGACGTGCCACGGTGTGCTAGAGCGAAGATGACAACTTTCACTAGTTCGAGAGAATAACAGGCCAAAAGCAACAAAGGGATGGGGGTGAGTGACCTTACCCAGTCCCAAGCTGCACATTTCCCAATGTGCGGCTCGGGATTGGTGTTTCCAGGTTTCACATTTCGCCCCTCGGTAACTTTCCTCCGTCATCCCAACCGCTCCTATTCGGTTCCCCCCTTCTGCACCCCTTTGCAACAGTCACATCGCTATATTCTACACCCCTATGCCACTTATATGCCACCCCTATGGTCATACGTTGGAATGATTACTAAACCAGCATCCTACTGTTATTGCATATGCACCAAATGCATATGCTGTGACAGCTGTCGGAGAACACCTCTCCTCCCGGCCCCTGTTCTTCTTCCTGCTGTCCTTCTTCAACACCTGCTCCTCTTACTGCCCTCTCTCCCCCCTCCCTTCTCTGCCTTGCCCTGCCTCAGTCACCCACTGCCCCCTCCTGTGCTCGGGCTCGAACTGCTTGAGCTCGTGTCACAGGACCTCCCTGCTGAGGCTTACTTCCCATCACCAGGGCCATGTTGCTCTGGTGCTCTTTCAACTGTGCTCCCCTTTCGTTCTCCAACACCAATACCCCTGAGGGACGCACTTCCCTCACCCTCCATCTCTCTGTCCCCACCCCGACATCCAAGGTATCTTGTTTTGCACGTTTCAGGTAAGTTGACTTTTGAGTCGACTCAAAAGTCAACCCTCCATCTCTTTGTCCCCACCCCGACATCCAAGGTATCTTGTTTTGCCCGTTTCAGGTACACCTCTTGCCCCTTGCTCACTCCCTTCTTTGCTCTGCCCCCCATCCCTTGCTGCTGCCGCTGCTCATAACGCCTGGCATCCCTCAGCTGTGCGGTGTGGAGGTTTTCCAGCGCTGCTGGCATCACCACCCGCAGGTACCTGGCCCTGGCTTCTGACAGTGCCACCCAATTGTCTATGGTGTCTGCTGTCACCGTGTCTGTGAGGACACGTGGGGCACCCTCTGGCAGCACTGGCTCACAACCGAACAGGAGGCTGTATGTTGAATGATCTCTCAAGGCAGCCTGCTTCCCAAATCTGTATCCCGCGGCAACCCAATGCAGCTCATCGTCCCAGTCCCGCTTCCTCTTCTCCCCATATGCCCGCAGCCCTCGCTTTAGAGTCTGTACCAGCCGCTCGGTCAGCCCATCACTCTGTGGGTGATAGCGGGATGTGCGCCTGTGAGTGATTCCCGCTTCTTCTAACAGCTTCTTGAACTCCCCCTAGAACTCTGTTCCCTAGTCGGTGAGCACCTCCGCACATGCTCCAAATCTGAAGATCAAATGTTCCTTGAACGCCGCTGCTACATGCCTTGAGCTTTTGCTGGGGATAGCCTTGACTTCCAGCCACTTGCTCACGTGCTCCACCATCAGCACTATGTATTGCTTTCCCCCTCGGCTCAGTGCCAATTCTCCGGCAAGATCTAGGGACCATCTAAAGCCCAGGCCACGGATGGGCAAGGACTGCAGCTCAGCCCTTGCTTGGCTGAGGTTTGCCCTGCTTTGTTGGCATGCCTCACAGCCCTCCACCCACCTCTGCACTTGCCTGCGCATCCCCTCCCACCACCACCCCGTCTTCAGTAACTGCACGGTCCTTTCGTGTCCGAAATGTCACAGCTTTGCGTGCACCTCCTTAATCATTGCTTCCCTCTCGCCCGGTGCTGGCACCAACTTCCACCCTTCCTCTGTCTGTATCTGCAGCTGCTTCTGGTACCACTTGTAGTGGTGCCCCCTTGCTCTCACCCTCTCTGGCATTTCTTCATCTTCCCCTGTCTCCCCCTTTACCCACCGGATGGCCTGTTCATCCTCCCAAATATCTGCTGGACCCCTGCTTCCCTTTGCCCCGTTCATGTCTACCTGTTTGGCCAGCAACGTCAAGGTCACAGTCGGTTCCAGCAGTGGGGGGTTTCGGGAGAGACCGTCTACGTGCTGTAGGGTCTTCCCAGGCCTGTGTCTGATCTTGAAGTAGTATTCCTGCAGCTTCATCGCCCACCATGCGTTCCTGCCCGTCAACCCCGGCGTCGTCATCAGCCATGTCAGTGGCTGGTGATCCGTCACCAAGGTGAACTCCCGGCCTTGCAAGTACACTCTGAAGTGCCCCACAGCCCATACCGCTGCCAGCCCTTCCCCGATGTATGAGCTGTACTGGGAGCTTCTGCTCGCGTATGCCACCACCTTCTCCTCTCTATTCACCTCTTGACAGAGTATCCCCCCCATCCCTTGGCTGCTCCAGTCGGTGTAGAGGGTGAATGGCTGGTCCGAGGCTGGCAATTGCAGCACAGTTGCTCACCGCTGTCATCAAGTCCTGCAGTGCCCCCTTCTGTGCTTCTCCCCACTCCCATGCCCTGTCCTCCCGTAGCAGCCCATTCAATGCCACTACTCTCTTGCTGAAGTTGGGCACAAACCGCCGGTAGTAGCTCAAGAAGCCCAGCAGTGCTCTCAACCCTGACTTGTCCTTAGGCTCCCGCAGCCTGTCCAGGACCTCTACCTTAACCTGCTGGATGCCAATCTGCCCCCCCTTCACCTCATAGACCAGGTATTGCACCGTTTGCTCACCCCACTTGCACTTCTTAGGGTGGCACGTGAGCCCTGCTGCCTCCAGTGCCGCCAGCGTCTTCCCCACAACCTGCAGGTGCTGTTGCTCAGTGGTGCTGAAGATCACCACATCGTCTATGTAACAGGCAGCACATTCCACATCTCGCAGCACCGCATTTATAACCCTCTGGAACACGGCTGACGCGTTCCTCAATCAAAATGACATGTATAGCCACTCATACAGCCCATCCGGTCCATGGAACGCCGTCTTCTTGATGTCTTCCTCTCTAATTTTGATTTGGTTGAACCCCTGCCGCAGGTACAGCGTCGTGAAGAAAACCCCATCCGCTAGCTTGTCAAATATCTCCTCTGCCATCGGCATTGGGTACATGTCCGCTATGGTGATCTTGTTGAGCGCTCTGTAGTCGCCACACAGCCCCCTGCTCAGTATTTCCCCTGTCAAATCCTTCCCTGCAACCACCACCGTTGGTGTAGAGTATTCAGATTCTTATCGTCTAATCAGTCCCGCTTCCAGCAACTCCTTGACCTTCTCCTTGCAGACTTCCTCATCTCCAAGCGGCATCTTCCTCCTGCGGTAAAATACTAGCTCCGTGCTACTCAATTTCAGCTTCATTTCTTTCACCTTGCACCTTCCCAACTCCTGCAGCGTGAAGGCAAAGCACTTCCTATGCTTTGCTAGCAACTCCCGCATGGCTTCTTTTCCTTCTTCACTCATCGCCTCTCTTACCGTCCACTGCTCTCTCTCTTCCTCCTTGCAGCTCCATGCTCCTTGTGGGACTGGTGCTGCAGCCGCTTTCTCTGCTTCATGCCCCTAGCTCAAGACCGTCTCTCGCCACATCCTCTGAATCAGCCACTTCATCAAATATCCGTCCATGGCGTTCCCCAGCGCTCTCCTCCTCTCCTCTTCACTCAACCCTGGGGCTGCTATCACATTCTCCCCATACCCCATGGCTAGCTCCCTTTCCAACGCCGTTGGTTCCTCCCACCGCCCTTGCTTGTGGTCGTACACCAGTCCTGGCCCGGCTTCCCTCTCTCCCACTTGTATCCGGCTGCGCCCACATACGACACCAAAGTGGGCAGGGCTCTCCTGTCTCATCCCACCTGGTTGCAGGGGTAATGTTTGCTGTAGCCCTTCTGGCACACTGGTGCAAGAGTCCGCCCTGGTTCCAGGATGTCTAGCACCTTTCTCCCCGTTGCTCTCTTCACCCCATCCACTTCTTCTTGCAGTTCCAACACTGGGACGACGTTTTGCCAGTACATCCTGAGCCGGTGCGCGTATGACACCGCCCTGGCTGCGTCACAGCTGATCCCCCTTCCCAACTGTTTGTTGATCCTCTCTCTTGCCAGCCGAATCGGCTCTCGGCAGTCCCCTTTCAGGTCCAAATTCTCTAGCAGGTACGCCACCCTTTCTTGTCTTTCTTGCAGCCACTCCAAGATGTGAAACAAACTCTCCATCAGCTTCGTTCTCAGGTCCTCCCCTCCTTTCCCTTTTCCTGCCCAAGATACCCCTTGGCATTCCCATCCTTCAACCAGCACATATACCTGCCCCCAGCTGGCCACCTACGCCTCCGTTATCTGGCTTACGTCATGAAGGGAGCTGCCCATGGCGTCCTGAATCACCCTTTCACTCAGGAGCTCCGGGAATTCTGCCCGCAACTTCCATGCGTGGTGTTCAGCCATCCTCCTCACCTCCAGCGCTTTCTCTACATATATCCACTACTGCAATGCTATCCCATTCTTCACTAGTGCTGCCAGCCCTGCCCCAATTCCCCCGAACAGCTCCACTAGGCGAATGGGCTGCTGCCAGTCGCTTTGCTTCCCTGGTGCGTCCATCAGCTTCATCCTGGGCCCCTCTCTAATCTTCTCTGTCCCTCCCTGTCCCTCTGTCTGCTGCCTCCTTGATGCTTCCCCTGCGCTGGCTTGGTATGCCCTCTTCG